AAAATTCTAGTTTAAAGAGAGAGCACCCCAAGAATTACAGAACCATGAGGTAGAAATTACAGGGATAGAGATGTCAGTTCAGCATAAGGAACTAACATTCTAAAGCCAGAACAAAGAGTAAAACAGACGCCACCCCACCCCCACCCCCAACCCCACCCCCACCCCCAGGTAGTGCGCTCACTGCCTCTGGCTGCCTTTCCACAGTGGCTGAGCAGTCAAGCAGCAGGGTCGCCACAGGGGACAGCCAGGCATCCTGTGGCTGATGCCCCACAAACATAACCCTGACGGTGCATATGGACGGTGATCCAACTGGCGCTGTTTCCCCGTCTCTTTCGATAAGTGAGGGGCAGGTGGAACTACACAGATAATAGTAGCATCCTCTCAGCACCCAATAGGTGTCATTCGCAGATGACAAGCTTTTAGGAATGCCTGTATTTTTCTAAATACGAGAAGCAATTCTTGAGGACGGCACATTGCACATAATCACCATAAGCCATGGAATTTAGGTTGGGGATAATCCCTTGCTTTAGTAATATTTTAATAGTTCCATATTCTCCCAGTTAACTGCCTTTATGTAACAAATGTTACAGTGTGAGACTAATTCCTTAAGATAGAAGTTTTGATGCCTTTGCCTAGAACCAGCACCTGGCCAGAGGAAAACAATATTCTAGTGTGGCAATTCTGTGTTTCGGGAGAATATAAAACAAAGAGAAAGAGGAATTCTGAGAAATATGTACTCAGCACCCACCCAATTTTTTATTCAACACAAAGGAAGCCAGAGGGAGAATAAAGAGCGAGGATAAAGGAAAGAAAGCTGTTTGGGGCTATGCCAAATAAACTTAAATGGTTTAAGGGATAAATTGGTGGAGTGATTCGAATCATGGGCAGGTGCTATGAATGTAATTTAGTAAATGCTAGGGAACCTGCCAAGGAAGAGAAAAATGTGTTGCTTTTGAGATCATTTCCCAGCAGCTTCATAAAAGAAAACTGATTACAGGAATTTAATAAGTAAAACAGAGCCAGAAATATTGTAATCAAATGAGTTTTTAATTACATTTCAAGCAGAAAAAAAATTCCAATTTGTGCTCCTGGGATTAAAAAAAAACAAGGTCTAGAGAAATGCTTTTGTAGCAGGAAAATAACATAAACACTAATTTCCATAGGAATTATAGTAGTCAGTTTAATTAAAAGGCTTGATCAGAGTAAAGGGGAGCTGGTGCCAAACTATACTAAATAAAACCATGGCAGTTGTGTGCTACCTCACACGATTGTCCAAATAAAAACACTGTGCATTGAGTAGAAAACAAGCATCTACATTTTTCTCATGGAAATAAAGGAGATTCTGATCACTGCCTGAATTATTATATTTGCTTGTTTTACTATCATATGAAATAACTAGTACATCTGATTTAAAATTAGATGTTTTTTTCTTGTGATAAACATCACTGTTAAGAAAGAGAGAGAGAATATACTCTGTTTTAAGGACATTGATGTGAACAGAGACATCATCTCAGCCCGGGTGGAGCACTCAGTATTCATTAGGGTGCTTGATTATTTCTGGGCGTTCAACTCCCACGCTAACTCCTTTAACTTATATATAGTTAAATTTTACTCATATTCCTGGAACTCCCTGGAGTAGAGAGTTATTTGAGTGGATAAATCAGGTTTACTAACAGGTGGTTTGCAGTTGTGCTTGGGGGAGTTCATTCTGCTGTCCTCAACATGAAGAGCTATTTTTCCTGTTCAAGGACCTTGCTATTGGCCGCTCCCTAACCACAGGTCATGCTTGGAGAAGGCTTTCAGGAAGTGTGGTGAAATTGCAGTCGTTGAATCATATGTTCACCTTCTGTCCCCCTTGTGATGAATGGGACACACCTGCAAGGTGTTGACATGGCGGGCCCAGGGGCATAATTTGTGGCCACAGAACAAAAGAAGCTAACTGACCCAGGACATAAAGTGAGAACACCCCCCTTTCATAGGCTAACAACCTCACAGCTCCATGCTCCTTTATTAATTCATTTCTTTATAGGGAAAAATAAAAACTACCCTATAGAGCTTAGTGTACCAAGATAGAAAAACTTTAATTTGTCATAATTGCAGAGAACCTAGGAAAAACAGACTGGCTGGCAGGGCAGGTCTATATAAAAGCAGTGCTATAGGGCTAGGGAGAAAACTGGCTTACTCTTCCTATGGTGCAAAAGACTGTGGCCTTTGAGATGGGGAGGAGCGTGGAGGAGTGAGTCAGTGGGGTAACTCACTTCCCCTATGACAATCTCTCATGTTCAGTAGTTAGTGGGCAGCAAAAATGTTGAGGGTGATGGGATTTCCTATGAGAAAGGGAAATAAAGTGAAACTCAAGAAGGAAGTGAAAAAATAGAAGGAAGTTAAGACTTGGAAATCATAGAGAAGAATCTGAAAGGTGCCCAGAGCATGGAAATAAATTCAAGGTCAAGTTTTACCTAAATCTCAAGGGACAGGGAAGCCCTAAGTGACATAAAGATTTCATTCAAAGAATGGAAAGTCTTGAGAATTCATGTCAAAATTCATGAGAGTTGTATACATAGCCAAGATGACAGATGACAGAATCGATGGATAAGAGGAGGGAAGACAGGAAAGATGAGTATGAATAAGTAGGAAGAAAGGAAGGAAGTTCCTGGTGTCAGGCCATTTCCCAATGGGATGACAATAGCAATCACACTCAAAGTGTCCTCAAAGTTCATGTCTTCAGTTTCTAAAAACTTATGAATAACAAAATTCTTAGCTGGTTTGAATTGATTATTAAAAATCATTGAAGCCACACAATTTCAAGATGTGTATACAGTATTATTCTTTGTTTTTTTCTTCTTGACTTTTTAAAGCTACCTTGTATGCTACATCCTCGACAGCTTTCTCTGTATACTCATTCTGTGTGGCAGGCTTGTGTCCTATCCTTGATTTTTACTTGAGAAAAACAATGGTTTTCTCCATAGCTTCCCAAAACAAATGGTAAGATTACAACAGGAATCTTTAACTTCCTATCAGATTCATATCTTCCTCCCACAGTGGAAAGACGAAGGGTCATTCATGATCCTAACATGTGGGGGACGTGGTTTATCATCTGTATGGTGCAGAGTCATTGTGAGGAATAACTGAGATGAAGTATGCAGAGCAGCCTGGCAATGTATTTAGCACATAGTAGGTGTTCAGTAGTGGAAGCTCCTCCTCATCCATGTGGGGGTGCCAGGTTTTCATACTTCTTTGAGACCCTGGAGATGGAAAAAAGGCCCCCCAAGAAGTACAAGTGCTTAAAAATCCATACGTTCTCATTGATTCTGCCCATTTGTAAACCGCTGTTATAAAAACACCACCATGTGAATATATTTGAGATGTTTAGATAATTTAACCAGTTAGAAAACATAATAGAAGGATCCCATTCAAGGCAAAAGCCAAAAGTTATTAATGGTTCTCCTGAGTTGGAAGGTTACAAATTACCTCTACTTTGTACTTTTTAAAAATCTTTTGTCTCTATATTTTCTAAAATTAACACATTATTTTTAAAAATATGAAATAACTACAATAAAAAGCATTATTTTTAAAATAACCCAAAACCCCCCTCATTTAAAAAAGATAAAGGCCATGTTTTTTGAAAAATTAAACATCATCAAAATCTAATTTCCTTTTTTATTGAGCTATCCAGAAAATAAAACAACTCCCAGGCCCTTTGCTTTATATGTTTTACATGGGTACCTTATATTTATTATTCACACTTATTGGCAAATAGATAATAGATGTTTTTACTAATCATATTTTACTAATTGAATATGTTTGAAGCTTTTCATAATGAAAAGTTTAAAAAGTTAACATAATGAAAATATAGATATTCATGCATTTAAAAGAATGAAAAGGAACTCTATAAACTTTTAAATTTGTCATTTACTTTCAAAAATCAGTGAAGCAGAGAATAATGGAATTTCCCTGTTGGGCAAACTCTATGCCCCTCTGGCCTGTGAGACATTTACCTATTACTATTTAACCTGAGCTTCCTGAATTTGTTCTAGCTCCAGTTCAGATGCAAGATCCTCTTCCCCACTCCCTCGTCACCCCTATCCCTGAGTAGCCTCTGACGTGAAAGCAGAATTATTCATTTGCATTCAATTTAAATGAGCCACCATACTTTTAGGGCTCTCATTCCACTACCAGGGGCAATCTAGGTTTTGTAAGATGAGAAACTCAAATATAGGAATAGGGGGATTATTCCCCTAATTAAAACACAAACACACACACATAAAATTAAAAAAAAAAGAAAATATTTAGAAGGGTCTGGTGCAAGTGGGGACACTGAGCTTCACTACCCTGGCGGTCAACATGGCTCTGGCCACACACTAGATTGTCTCTTCCCTCATCTCTCCTGCACCCCTCTTTCACTCTCTCCCACACTCCTTTTCTGTTCTGCCATGTCTATTTCATATATATTTCCATGTTGACCTGTATATTTAGCACAATTCCCAGATCTTTAAAATAGCTTTAAAAATAAACACCTTCTCTTGTTTCAGGATCTTACCTGGCCTTTCTTACTCAGGTAAGTCCACCCAGAGTCATCTATGGTGGAGCAATTGTAGGATTATTTTAGTAAAAATTTAGGTTTTACAGTCTTTTGAGATCTGGAGCCCTCTGTAGCAGGCAAAGATACACATGTTAGTAGACATGTGTGAGGGGAAATTTTGATTTCTGTCTTGTTCGATGTGGTTGTAAAACAGAGTCGGAGTCTACGTGCCTGGCGCCCCCTGGAGTTAAACACAACCATCCTGTTTTATTTTTTCATTCTCTGTAGAAGGCTCTATTAATACACCATAATGGTGTTAAATGAATATTTACTTCTTGTAAATAGCTCTTGTTTACCAAAATAATCATCACTTTTACTCCTTACAGCCAGTTTCCATTGTCCTCATAAATTAAAGGTGGAAAATCATGTCAATGACTCTGGTTCTTCTCTCCCTCACCTGTTTTTTGTTTTGTTTTAGGCATTGGTGAAAGTCAATGTGAAACTGAAGCCAATGCTAGATTCCGTGGCTGCAAACAGAAGGAAGTGGGAAGAATTGCACCAAAAAAGGCTGCTGGTCTCAGCTGCCTCTCCCTCCACTGCCAGCCTCACAGTAGCTGAAGAGGACAGAAACTAAACCTCCAAGTCAGCTGCCGCTGCAAAATGACTGCATCCTGAAAGGCCGACTCCAGTCTAGCCACATCATCCTTTTGTTCTTTTAGCTCAGACAGACCTAAGGTCTCGAGGGTGTGCTGGGAAGCATGGCTGGGCTTTCACCTTGAAGTGTGGTCAGCAGCGGAGAGGGTGACAGGAAGGACAAAGGAGGAGGTGGGGCCAGGAGCACACCCCAGGACCCTCACCTTCCTCTGATGGACCCACACGGGCTGAGACGAAGGCTCTGGGCAGAGGACTGTTTTGGATCCAAGGACCTGAGGACATTCGGCCCCGCTCACTCTGTGCTGCGGGAACACTGAACCGTGAAAGCGTCATTAGCGCTGCTTCATTTTGTATATGGCTCTTCTGTTCGTTACAAGCCAAACGCTGCCTGCCTTTGCTTCCTCTCTCTGAATGCCCTTTTGTGCCAGACTGTCCCAAGAATCCTGATCTGTAATCTAGAGAGGTATTTTATTTTTAATCCTAAAGCCTCTTAATGATGGATCAGAGCCTTTAGAATTGCCTACCTAAAGGATAAGCTATACTGTCATAAATACCAGCCAATCCCACCCAGTTTTCCCCAAAAAAAGGTCCATAGCAGAAATACAACAAGTGTGTTTGTCTGATTGTGATTCTGCATTGGGACCGTGGTCCCCTTTTTCAAAGTTTTTTAATTCAACCTTTATTATAGACCAAGTCTTCTCCCAGAAGGAATGGATTAATAGACTTTAATTAAAGCAAGAATGAAAGAAAATCTATAGCTGGATTTACCACAAGTGACATCTAGGAACTATAGTCCCTAGAAACATTTAGGAACTAGTTCCAACAGCAAGATATATTTCACAGGATTCAGCAGAGCCATAGAGATTGAGCATTGACTACCTTGCGTTCTCCTAGTGATGAGTTTTGGTATCAAATTTATGGTTACTACCAGTAACCAACTTAAAGCCATAAGCATCCTCAATTTTGGATTTTTCCTTTAAAAATATGCTTGAAAGATTAAGAAATAACAGTCTGGACAGAGAACCCATATTCTGTGGGAAGCCAGGTTTATAATAGGGAAGAATAAACTATATTAAATAGATGCAATGACTAGATGGTCTCTTTGTTTTCCATTTTACCTGAGGACATGGTATGTCTTATCCAGAGAACACTGGGCTAGAAGATAGACGTCAGTCCCTAGCTTTGGCACTACTGACTGGGTAAATTTGGACAAGTCACTTCTCTAAGTTTGTTTCCTTATCTGTCTTATACTAGGAAATGATTTTCAAACAGTTTTAACTTTAGAACTCTTTGTTCAAATAACTCTTTCAAGGAATTGCCAAGAAATAAAACATCAAAAAGCAGAATTCCTCTGTTTGAAGCAGGGTTTGGGGATCCACAGCCCCTACAAATCTTCATCTCTTTGATTATACACATGGTGATCCACAAAGGGACTCAGAGGAGTTTGAAAATCCCTGAATTAGATGAAACCTGAGGTCCTTTCCAGCTCTAAAAATTCTAAAATTTACAAACCATTTTGTTCATGTTGTTACTCATCAGCATCAGTTATTAACTTTACAATTCAACTATTAAAGAAATAGGGGCCAAGTTTTACAAGGGACGTGTTTTTCCAATACACAGTAGAGAAATTGGAAAAATGTTTGTGGAATGAGTAGGTAAAATTAAGTGAGGGGAGAGCAGGTAAGTGTAGGGAAGTAAGATTCTTTATAGCAGGGAATGAAGTTAAAGAAAATTATAAACCAGACAAAGGGGGAAAAAAGGAAGAAGAAGAAAAATAAGATGACCAATAAAGCAAAGATAGGGACTGAGGCAGGTGAATAAAGGAATTGCCAAAGGCAAGGTGAAAGTCAATGCAAACAAAGAAAAATGGTACTTCCAACCCAAAACATGAAGATGTAGAATCCTGCCATCAATTGCTCAGAAAAGAGAGACACTTGAGCAGGGAGGGGGTTGACAAAAGAGAGACGGAAGGAGTGGGAGCCCTAAAAAATAATGTTCCTAGCTCCCCTTTACAGCTGTCTCTGCAGGGAAGACTGGAAAAACCAGAGGAGACAATGAGTGCAGGAAAAACTGCCTCCGCAGAGCAGGTAAGAGGAGGTTGTTCAGATTTATGGATTTTATTAAGCCAGTTTTCTGAATCACTCCACTATAAAGGAAAATAACTTCTGCAGGGCTGTCTCCCCTCCTTCAGGTAAGGAACAAAGAAAGCATGGGTGGGGTTAGGGACAGAGCCTGGTCTGCGAGATCATCACGTGTCTGCAGCTCAGAGGCACTGCAGGTGTCCCTGCGTATTGTGCCACATCATGTTTATGTCCCGAATGGGAATTGAAAATCAGTCCATGTGAGGCAGAGATGAGCCCACATCTGTTATCCTCCCCAACAATAAATAAATAAGTACCCCAGACAAATGGATGCCAGTCCATCTAGAGCAACATTTTAAAGCATGTGCTTTATGATAAAACTGGACCCAGGGTCTGACAGAGACTGCAGGCAGCTAAAAGCACTGTAGCCACCCTGAATGTTGATACTGCATATTGCTAAGGGGAACATAATTTATAGCACAAACCCTACAGCTTCCACTAAGGTTGAGTTTTCCTCTCATTTTCTTCCCTTTTTATTGGCTTCACTGCACGGTTGCCAATAGCAACATCCACTGGTAGCAAGGGGAGTTCAACACCATTGCAATCTGCCATACAGTGGAGCCCTGACAATGTCAACCATCAATCAAGTAGCTGTTTGTAATTGCCTCCATCTATTTCTCCTGTCTCAAGGTATCTTTCCTATTGCGGGTCAAGATGCAGAAACTGCTGACTAATCCTATGGGTCTGATCCTCCATGACCACGGAGCAGTGGAAGGGAGGGTGGCAGTCCTTCAGGGTGCCAACAACCCTGGGGGTAAAAGACTGAACTCTTGGGGGGTGGGGGGTTAGGTAGTTTTAATCCCATTTCTAAATGATTTTTAATTTTCCAAGAATGTGAGGTATGTGTGATTATCCATACAACTCTGCTTTTCCAAAATAGAGAAAGAGAAATTGTCCCAGTCCTTATTGTTAATGTTTATCTCCTAGAGGAGGAAGGTATTTGAAATGTGAGTCTTTTTGTAAAACCTCAAACTGATCAGATCATATTTGCTTCCTTGGGTCTCTTGGCATTAATGGTTGAAATGACATCATCCTACTTTTTCTATGAGATGTATTTTTTTCAGACATGATATTTATTCTTGTTAGCCAGTATTTAGATAATATATGCACAACCTACAATGTAGCTGGCATTCCTGGCAGGTAGGGACAGCCCTCCACACTGCAAAGGGCACCATCCAGTGCACAGTAGATTGGGACTCCATGCTAGCCTGGCCACTGGCTAGACCTGTAATCTTGGAACTCTCCAGGTCTCAGGTCTTCCATCTATTGAATTGAAGGACTGACTTTTATTCAGTTCCCACAGCAAAGGACCAAGATGTGTTTTGCTTTTTAAAATTTTTCCAGATAATCTTCTTATTTATTCTTCTCAAATAAAATAGGAACAAACCTAAGGAGGTCATCTTCTTATTAAAGACACAATAAAAAGTTACATATATGGGGTAGATAGAAAAATAATCATACTGCAGATCTGTCTGAGCCCGCCTCTAGTGATGGTGAAAGATATGGTCATCAATACAATTCTTTAAAAATATACCCTTTTATTTCATAAAAAACAATTTTAGATTATCTCATATCATAGATATCCCATAAATGGTAGTCAATAATTTAGAAATGAATTTATTTTTAATGTAAAATGAGTCAAGAGAAGTTAAAATTGCATGTGTGTTTTCTGTTTCTAAAATCTGAAATGTCTACACATTTCTGGGTATTTTATATTTGCAAATATAAAATATTTGGGTGGAAAATAATCTTTAACACTTTGTGTTAGTATAATAACAATATTATCCATTATTAATTCCACCAAAATTCAGTTGCATTTTCTATGTATTAAAATGTATCATGCTTTATCCACCTACCTTAGGTAATTAAACAAAATCTGCTCTATTAACTTTGCAGTACAATTATTTTAAAATCCATTTTTTACTGCTGACTATAATGAATTACAGAAAGATAAAACAGTTTCATCCCCAGTAATAGTATGAAACAATTCCCTTCAAGTGAGACAGAAATCTAAACATATTATGGAAAGATTTAAATATATTTTTAAAAATTGCTTTGGCTTGGGAGAAAAAATACAAAAAAAGATTCATTACAGCAACAGGAGAAAACCTAATTTGGAACCCTAAAAACTCTGGCAATGTTACTGTGGCAAAGCTTCATTATCTGCTTCAGAATAATAGTCTTTAAAATTGTTATTCTGCCATGTGCTATAAAGAAGTCCTCAAACTCAAATGTATCAGGAAATTTAAAGGTTAAGTGTGGCTACATGTCTAGTTTATGGTGTTTTGGCCTTAATAAGCTTGCACAATAATGGGATCAAACACATAGATGGCAGAAACAAAATGAGGTGTATCTGGAGAATTTCATGATGAGCATTTAGATTTAGCAGTGTCCAATGTCGTGCTTACATTGCTTGTGTCTCGAACTTTTTTTTCAGCTAGTAATTTTGGGTTGTACATTTTTTTTAATTAATTTCAAATTTTTTTGCATGTTTGGTACAACTTTCAGCAGTGCTAAAGATACATTGTTTATTTGTGCAGCATACCTACACCAATGTTGTTGGATGTATACACTGGTACAGAAATATGTTTGTTTTATTAAGTAAATGAAATATTTGCTGTGAAAAATGTGTTATTTGTGGCCATCATTTATCTCCGTGTTCATTTTCTGTGTATAAGTGCATGTTAGAATCTCAATTTTCCTTTTGCTTTAGTTTAGATTTAGATTAAATCATATTTAGGTAAATTTTGTAAAAACATCATAGTGTGGAAATAGAAGGCTAGGTTTTGTTGAGTCTCATTCCCTTGAGGGGAAATTGCTTTTGCCATTTTATTTAGATGTACAATAATCTAAAAAGGATCCCCTACTGACTTGCTTCCTGTTTATTATTGTTTTACCCGAAAGAAGGGAAATATGTTTCAGTTGAATTGTTTGAAGTCATTCCCTTTGTGTAGATTTCCCAAACTGATGATTCATTATAGGAATACCACATTTTAGACTGCTTGGCCATTTCACAAGCAACTAATCCATGATTTTGAAACAGTCTGCTTTAAGAAACCTAAATATCTTTGTTTTTAATAAAATGCTTGAAGTTCAACTAAAGCTCTGTAATAATCTTTATTTCGAGAAGGGTGACTTAAGGGCTGAAAGAAGCAAGCATGCATACAAATACCTACAATTTATATTTTGACTATTAATTTAGCCCATTAACTTTGCCTTGACGTGTGGTGATGTTTGCCTGTGTGAGAAGGATACCGGGATATCCCTGTTCATATAGCACTTGAAAGATGACAAAAGCTCCTTCAAATTATTGAGGTTTTTCTGGAGGTAGGAAAGTCTGCAGCCAAATGCTGGGTTCCTGTGTCCGTTACAGATTGCTCAAATTTGCATGGGCAATTACACAGGGGGATCGCATCAACGCAGGGCCGCCAGCCACACTGACGCCATACAATTACACAACGGCTTCGGTGCTTAAACTTTAAAATTCTTACACCATTGTGCCTGTTCTATTAGAACAAACTGCAGCAAATGATCCAAAGCCAATTCAAATGACTGGAGAGGAGGTGCCCAGGGAGAGAGAGGGGAGAGGTACAGTGAGGCCCACTACTGGCCAGCATAAGCAATCACCACTGCTGGCCAGGCAACCACCCGCTCCTTTGTGCTTTCCAGCTTGCAGTTTTAAAGTGGGGCCAACGATAAGGCTCACCTAATTCACAGAGGGCTGTGAGGATTAATGAGGGAAGTTAGGCAAAGCAGGCCTGGTACTGAAAGTACTGCATAAACACAGGCCCTTAGAGTAGCTCTTTGTTTGAATGGTTGGTTGATTGTTGTTTTTTTAAATGCCAGTGTCCACGGTTTTGCCTTCTCTATTAATCCCTTTTATAAACCTTAATGCTATTATGTTCTCCCTGGTAAGCTAATTTAGACAATAACACTGTAAACCCCAAAATACAAGCTACTTGATCAAAAGCAAGGTGTACTCAAGAAGGAAATCTAATTAAAATATTAATAAAGCTGGAACTACAAGCAAAAGGAAAGTTCATAATGAGGTTAAATGTCTCACCATCTGAGCATAAATGTTCTCAAGTGTTGATTTTAGCATACAGTCTTTCCAGAAGTCTAAAAGGTTGAACAGATGCTCCTAAAAAGTCATTCAACTACATTACAAATTTGGCACTATTTTTTCTTTCCTCTTCATATTGGGAGATGGGGATTGGGAATGGGGATACAAAGCAACCAAGCCCCCCAAACTGGCCATCCTGAAGCAAATGGTCTGGAATCAAAAGGAATAAAAAATAGCAACTGGAAAATGGTTTTGCAAAAGGTCTTTCTTTATAAAAGAAGATATTTGATCATAGCTGTGGTTGAAATATTCATAAATTAACAATACTTACCAACAGAAAATAGACACATTTACAGGATACATAAAAATACATACCTTCCAAGTAGTTTTAAAAAAAGAATGCCAAATAGATTCTATATACAAATAGAATTTGGGATTTGATCATCACATATTTTGGGAGGCAGAACATAAGCATGCTAAGAAACATCATGCTTTCTGCTCCTCTACATTTTGCCTACATAGAACTCTTCTACATGGTAAATATGTATCCCTTTGTGCAGCAAAATCCACCCTAAGTCCAACACCATTTTTTCAAACTCTAATTCCTTTCTACAAGTCACTAAATCACTTTATTACAACCATCAAAGGCCTTGCTTGAAATGGTATGATACACTTAACTTTTTGATATATGCTCCAGCTTTTCAAGATTCTATTGCAAACAAAATGATCCTTTATGACATTTTATAATATTCCACCCTGTTTATTGCTTTCCAGAATTTCTATTTTAAAAAGCCTTCTCTCACCTCCTCCCTGCAAAAACTAATCTATTCCCCAACTGCCTATCAGAGACTAAATAAAAGTCGGTCTATCACAGCAGCAGTGATGGTCATGCCAATTTCACAGCGTGATTTGTGCACTCATTTCATTTTGAAAATGACCCTGCCCTCCATCTGTCTAAACCGAATGTCCTGCTTTTTTCAAGCCAGGCCTCTGGAGAAACATCACAGGAAATAGGGAGGAAGACATAGAATGGCCTCCCTCCTGCCCACTTCAGCTGCCATGCTCACAGGTTAACAACACAAAGAGGAGAACCCCAACTAATGCCTGTAGAGATCAGAGAAATTTGGAAGAAAGAAGATAGTCCTTTTATCTTTCATACATTTTCAAGAAGCCATTTGAAGGTGAATGCTTTCATGATGCAAATACAACTCTGCAAAACAGAGTTGGGCTAAAGACATAACAGGCAATTGCCCATTTCCATGTTTTGTCATCTTACTTTGATTTAATGCCCAAAGTAACAGTCCATACACAAGGATTTTAAAATACTGAGCCTACATTTCCAAGGAACAACTTGGACAATCAGCCTTAAAAAAGATGCACCCTCTCCCCCACCTTATTCAATAATAAGGAGCAGCAGCAGTAGTCAGCATCCGTCCATCCACATACCTCCCAGTGTTTAAGATCCTAAAAGGGCGCACCAGGAGATCAGCTTGAAATAAGCCTCAGAATAGGGTTGTAGTAGTACTCCTCATTTGCTTTCTGGGGGTATCTTGGGTGAGTCAAAGCCCCACACAACCCTTCTGAAATGGGTGCAATTTGTCCCTTTCTTGCTATTGATGCATTGAGAGGTTCCTTGCACCCAGAAAGACACAACTCTGCCAATTCTTAACAAAGAAAAAGACTGAATAAGCACATTAAATCAGTCATTTTACGACATGAGCAAACACACACCTACTGAAGTTTCCCCTAGTGATACTAGGTGATTAGGAGCTACACAACCCTCACTAGTCACTTCCTAATAGCTGCAATTGAACCTAGAAGGTCAAAGTCTACTGCCCATTCCAAGTTAGCTGGTTGTTGTAATGGATAATGAAGAAACAAGACATTAATCTTCCTCCATACACATTTGACACCAAACACTGGGCCCTTACAAACTCATCTATAGGAAATATATGGATTGGGTTATTCATTAGCATTTCTTACTGAAAGTAGCTCAGCTGCTACCTATCTAGGGGTAGTCTTGAGCAAATTACTTAAACCTTTAAACCTTTCTAGCCCACAGAGTTCTTCACCTTTAACATGCAGATTATGGGGTGATTATTAAAATTAGAAATAATATAGGTAAATGGTCTATAATAAAGTGCCATACAATATGGCTGACGGTGCTTAAATTTAAATGTAGAAAATATTTATGGGCAGAATACAATTGAAGAGGCACACGAGGACTTACATTGACGTCTCTATATAATAAAGACATACTTTTATTGGACTATGTTTATCTCAGGTGCTAGAGAAACCAATGGAGATCATGAAAGATCAATAAATGTTATGGGAGATGGAGGAAACTGATCAGTTTTGGATCCAAATATCTCTTGCCTTCCTTTTCCATAACAAATATTACTGAGTATATGCTGACATTTAAACTTGGATCTATCTACTGCTCTGGCTCTCCAACGTTCCCTGCCAATAATAAACCGATGTTTTCCTCCATCTCCCAATTAAGATTCACGTTTTCTTCTCATGAACCACTAGAAATGACCAAAATAAGGACTCCTGGTGGCTGTACTATCCTATCCTTAGAAAGTGTGCCCTCAGGGAAGCATAAGAAGAACTTACTCTAATTCCAGGAAATTCCTAGATGACCCGCCTTTTCCATCCACTTCCTGAGACAAGGAACTGGCAGTCACTGCTTTTAGGTATTGCTTTAAATTGCCTTGGGCATTGCTTTGGGTACTGCTTTGGGCATTGGCAGTTACTTTCTCCGGTCATTCCTATCACAACAATGACAAATGCCATTAGTATGGACCACACAGTGTCCAAGGCTCAAAAACGCAAGGTACATCGGACAGTAAACCTTCCTCTCTGTGCCAGAGACTGAAGTGGCACAATACAAACAGCTATCAACCCTCATCCTTAAGAAGCAGGGAAGACAATGACTCTGCGTCCCCTAATGGGAGGGGGAGATTGCGGGGCGGAGGAGTGTCAGTGAAGTAGAGACTACGCCTCCCAGCATGCAGCGCGGCTAGGTCCCTGCCAGAGATGCGGCTGCAACAGTGCATGCCGGGAGGGGAAGTTTCGGCCACTAAATGTCCTCAGAATCTTCCTCTCCCCTCCCAGACTGCGGCCACTCCGCAGTCCAGGGTATTGGAAGAAAAAAATCAGAAATTGAGAAACTCCCGACACTGATCCCTTTTTACGCCAAACGAGTTCCTGCGCACCGAAGTAACCTCCGGCTTCCGTTTCCGGTTGTCCTGTTGCCGTGGTAACGAGCACGCGCAACTTTCCTGGCCGTTATGGCGGGGATGAGCGGCTCGCAGATCCCTGATGGAGAGTACACCGCCGTCGTGTACCGGCTCATCCGAGATGCCCGCTACGCCGAGGCGGTGCAGCTGCTGGGCGGGGAGCTGCAGCGGAGCCCGAGGAGCCGCGCCGGCCTGTCGCTGCTGGGCTACTGCTACTACCGCCTGCAGGAGTTCGCGCTGGCGGCCGAGTGCTATGAGCAGCTGGGCCAGCTGCACCCCGAACTGGAACAGTACCGCCTGTACCAGGCCCAGGCCCTGTACAAGGCCTGCCTTTATCCTGAGGCCACCCGGGTCGCCTTCCTCCTGCTGGACAACCCCGCCTACCACAGCCGAGTCCTCCGCCTGCAAGCTGCTATCAAGTACAGCGAGGGCGACCTGTCAGGGGCCAGGAGCCTGGTAGAGCAGCTGCTGGGTGGGGAAGGGGCAGAAGAGAGTGGGGGCGAGAATGAGCACGATGGCCACGTCAACCTGGGCTGTTTGCTCTACAAGGAGGGACAGTATGAAGCAGCGTGTGCCAAGTTCTTTGCGGCCCTGCAGGCCTCAGGCTACCGACCTGACCTTTCCTACAACCTGGCTTTGGCCTGTTACAGCAACCGGCAGTATGCCTCAGCGCTGAAGCATATTGCTGATATTATTGAGCACGGCATCCGCCAGCACCCAGAGCTAGGTGTGGGCATGACCACTGAAGGCATTGATATTCGCAGTGTTGGCAACACCTTAGTTCTCCACCAGACTGCTCTAGTGGAAGCCTTCAACCTCAAGGCAGCCATAGAATACCAACTGAGAAACTATGAGGTAGCCCAAGAAACCCTGACTGACATGCCACCCAGGGCAGAGGAAGAGTTGGACCCTGTGACCCTGCACAACCAGGCACTAATAAACATGGATGCCAAACCTACAGAAGGATTCGAAAAGCTACAGTTTTTGCTCCAACAGAATCCCTTCCCCCCAGAGACTTTTGGCAACCTATTGCTGCTCTACTGTAAATATGAGTATTTTGACCTGGCAGCAGATGTCCTGGCAGAAAATGCCCATCTGACATATAAGTTCCTCACACCCTATCTCTACGACTTCTTGGATGCTATGATCACTTGCCAGACAGCTCCTGAGGAGGCTTTCATTAAGTTTGATGGGCTAGCAGGGATGCTGACTGAGCAGCTTCGGAGACTCACCAAACAAGTACAGGAAGCAA